AAAAAAAAAAAAAAAAAAAAAAAAAAAAAAAAAAAAAAAAAAAAAAAAAGCTCCCCAATAACTTTCCTTCTCTTCCACGTCTCCTTTTAAATTCATTTCCCGACGAGGGCAACATTGTGGATGTTGTGGCCGAGTGTTTTCCGGTGAACGTTGTTGGGTATTGAAATTTGTGCAGTTTTCGCCTCTTTTCTGTCTCTTTTCATACCAATCTATCTCGAATTTCATGGAAACATGAAGTTCTCCGGTTGTGTAAGCACCTTACCCCTTTTCTTCTTGGATGAACTTTTGTTTTTTAACCGATTCAATTGGGTTTGATTTGATTTGGGGTTCTTTTGGGTGTTTTTGAATCCAACAGTTTAATGTAAACCAATCGAGAAATAATGGGTGTTCTTCAATGATTTCCATCGTTACTGAAAATTAATCATACCCTTTGTTTTGTGGGGTTTAAGATTCTTCTTGTGTATCTGTTCCTGTGGGCATGATTTTGTTTCATTGCTTATTTTGAGTTGTTTTCTTTGCAGTTGCCCTTACTTGCAGAGCAAAAAAGTAGGCATTCTTGTTTTTGTACCCTTCTTCCAGTCACTACTTTGCTTTGTCTTGTATTGTTTGTGGGGAGTGCATATATAGCACCAGATTATAGACAGGTATGCTTTCTTGCTCTTGCTCTTGCTCTTGCTGATTTTCATGTGTTGTGGTTGCTCTCTCTATGAATCCTGTGTTGTAGCTCATCGTTGTAGCAAGCACCAAGGGTTGCCTTGGTGGTCGAAGCTCGAGATGTTGTCGAAAACTTAAGAACTTAGAAGTTTAGTTGGCTTTAGGATGGGTGGGTGGGCGATGTTCCTTTTCGAAGAGTAGAATCGAAGTGTAGTGTTGAATAGGTCGGTGTAACTGTTAGTTCTATGGTGGTGAACTCAATGGAGTCAGTTAGAGTGATAAAATAAGCTAGACGTGCTCTTTTTTTCTACAGGGGATCGTAATGTCTTTTTAGGAATTGCACGTCTCCTTATTAGCTAGCTCCTATTTGTGGTGCACAATTTTGTGGAATGTAGGTAGCAGTTACGATCGGTTCGATAGAAAAGAAGGAATAGTGTCTTTTTCTCGTTCGGGGCCTCTAGAATGATAGGACTTGTCAACTTCCGGTGGCATTTGCATAGATTTCATTATTAGTACAACATATTTCATGCCACTCTATCAGTGTTTGAAAGGATTTTAGCTCATTGAACTCTAGAATGACATGGTTCTTCTTCTTCTTCTTCTTCTTCAGAAAATCTCTAAATGGGGAATAGATGGTTTTGTCAGATCAAAGTTCAGTAAATGTGAGGTTCGTTCGATATTTCGACCATCGTTACAAGAACGAACAACATTTTGTATCAATCTTCTCATATTTATATGACATTAGTGATTTATACCTTTGATGCTCATGTTTTTTTGTTTCATTAGAATCAATGTAGGCCAAA